CTGCATAGTACTGGACCAATATTATTGTTCTTTCCATGTGATCTCAATGAAAAAGTTACATTTAAGCAAAAGAAATGAATTCACTGTGGAAAGACACTTTGATTTATGAAATAGTAAATGAAATGAAAAGAAAAATAGTACTCTAAGAAGTAGTTTGATGAACATGGATCAGAGATAATAATTTCGGGATAAAATGTAAGATTAGTTTATTCTATATTTGGTTAAATATATAAGTTAGAGTCCGTTTAGATTAGCTTAAAAAAATAGGTTTTAAATCAAAAATAAAAAGTCAAATTGAAATGACTTTTAAGAAAAAATAAAAAGTATGGAGAGACATACTTTTGATTTTTGACTTATTTTAAGTCATTTTGATCTTGCCAAACACTTCCTAACTTATTTTAAGTTTTTTTTTTTTTGTATTTGTCAAACACTTCCAAAAGTCAAAAACTGACTTAAAAGTAGTTTTGACCAACATTAAGTAATCCAAACACCCTTTTAGTCTCGTGATTGTTTATCCGCCATTTATATATAGTGATGACTGATGAGATAAGTTATCATATATATATATATATATATATATATATATATATATATATATATATATATATATAATGGAATAACTAATTTCATGGAGTATCTCAGTCCATGAGATAACTTTCTCTATCTCACCCGTTAATGATTACAAGGTGTGAAGAACAAAAGAGGTATAGTGGAAAGCAGTAGCGGAGTCAGATTTTTGATTAAGAAGTGTTAAAATATAGAAAAAGTAAAATTGCGTATAAGTCAAGGAGAGTCAAAATGTGATAAGAAAAAGTTGGGCAGAAAAAAAAATGACTGACCTAGGGTTTCCTTCCTAGCCAGCAACTGCGCAACTCTCATGGCTGCTACAACCACTGGACGACCTCCTTTCGAGGCTATCCAGCCCGCCCCACCACCCCAAACCACCATATAGCCACATTTTTCAATTCCGATGCTATAAATCCCAAACAATTTGGCCTAATTAACTAAAAAACAATTGCAAAATTAATCAAAATAATTCATGGAGAACCTACTATCACATTTTCAATGGAGGAAAGACAAAACTTTATGATTGAAGAGGGATTGCATCAAGCAGTGGTGTTTAAATTATCCCATGGTGCTCCAGATTTGAAGGTATTAAGGTCAATTTTACCGAAACATCTTGGTACCAAGGGAAATTGTTTAATTGGCTTACTTGCTCCAAGATAAATTTTGTTGAGATTTGATCAATATGAAGATTATGTACTAACTTTATCTCGCTCAGTTAATTATCTTCTCTACAATGGAGATGAGCACCAATGTAGGGTTTTTCCATGGTCCATTGGATATAATCCTAAGAAGGAAACGATGTTAGCTGTGGTTTGGATTTATTTACCGAACTTATCTCCAGATTTGTTTGCAAAGAAGTCTCTGTTGTCTATAGCATCGGCAGTTGGGAAACCATTAGCTATAGATAAAGCTACTCAAATCAAGTCAAGACCTAGCACAGATAGGTTCAAGGTTATACTTGATCTAATGGAAAAGCTTCCAAATCGTATAAGATTGCAGTTTGTGAATGAAAGATCTGGTAAGTTGATAGAGGTTTTTCAGGATTTTGTATATGATAATCTACCTTTGTATTGCAATTATTGTAAGCACCAAGGTCATGATGAAGATAGTTGTCGTTTGATCTAAAAAAGAAATCAAAATAACAAACAAATTGGTGATATCATTGAAGTTGCTTCAAAAGGTACTAACGATAGTGAAAAGTATCAAGGTGATGTGAGAGAAATACTAAATGAAAAAAGAAAGGTTATAGATGTCGATCAAAGTAAAGCTACTTCTTTAGATCCACAATTGGTTGTTGTCACTTCTGAGCAAAATTGTGCACACTCAATGGATGTTGTTACAAGTAATATTGGTGTTCAAACAACTACCGAAAACAAAGGGGGAACACTAAGAGTTGGGGTTAATGCGCTGCGAGTTGGTTCATGCAAAAAAATAATGGATTCAGGACACAAACTAATGGATACATCTGATGTTGAAAATTCTGGGCAGCATGTTTTGCAAGTTGAAACCAAGAATGCAACTAAAAATTGAACACTGGTTGCACACAAAAATTCAACTAGTAATCAGAGCCTTTCCCTGACTAGTCAAAATAATTCTCCATGTAGTGAAAAGGGTGCGACTAGAAATTTTCATGACAGTGAGAAGAGGCAAGATATTAGTAATGCCTCAAGAAACCTATTATGTTCGAATAGTTTTTGATGTTTTATCAAAGACTACTGGAAAGCAAGTAAAGTTAACAGAGAATGACAACGATTTGATCCAAGAAAAACAGGTCTCACCACCTACTTTGAATAACAAATTAAGTCCAGAAGCTCCTGTATTTGTGCTTAAATGTGTAATTGCAAAGAAGAATGAGTCAAGGGCCTTAATGTCAAATACAATTGATTTGGGGGAGGATTCTCTTGATGAAGATGAGGAAGACAATATGCTTGATTTGGGCAAGGATTCTCTTGATGAAGATGAGGAAGACAATATGCTTGATTTGGGCGAGGATTCTCTTGATAAAGATGAGGAAGATATACTGGACATATGCTTTGATAGAGTGGCTAGGAAATGAGATATATCACCTAAGCAACAAAGAAGTGGAAGCAACAAAAGCAAAAAGAAGACACATGAAAGACAACATAGTTGGGACGGTAAAATGACTGATGAGTTTGTTCCAAGGCACCTATCGATGCGACAGGCAAAGCAGATTTTTGGAAAGTAACAATTCCATTCAGTTCGCTTTCGGAAATAGGTTCAACAAGATCCAATAAATCCATAAAGAAAGTATGAATTATCAAGTGTTGTTGGACATGTTTGAAGAAGAAGACAAGAGAAATATACTCAAGTTACTTTTGATGGGCAATCAATCTTTTTTGATTCATGCGTTTGTAATAGAAAGTTTGAGGCTGATAACTCAATTTTCTTCTTGATTGACATATTTTTACATTATTTAAGCATCCTCATTTGTAATATCATCATGTAGTGTATTACAAACTTTGTGGTGATCAGAAAATACTTAGTTCTCTCTAGCTCTTATTTTCTTCATGCTTGTTAGGTAGTCGACGTTAGGTACTTCATTAGGATTAGTAAGGTAAGGCCTAGCCTCCTTTGCTTGCACTTATTCCTATTGATATTTTTTATGTTTAATAAAAGGCCACTAGACACTGTCTAGTGTTAAAATTGCAAGAAAAAAAGAAGAAGTCAAAATGTAATATATACACATAAAAGAATATTTTTACCAAACTATACAATGTAATTTCCGATGAAGAGATATCGATCGACATTCGTCAAATTGAAGAATGATTAGTTGAATATGTTTCGTAAAAAAATTATATATTTTTTATAAAAAATAATTATGCTATATATAGACTAAAAATTACTTTTACATATTTATATTAATTAAATCTTAAATATCACTAACAAAATTTTTGATTTAGAGGGGACAACTTGTATTTACATTACCTAGGTAGAGGAAAAATCATAAATAGGAGAGTTAGGACTAGAAATTTAAATTATGTTAAATAGAGGGACACAAATAAAGAGAATCATTTTCTCTATGATAAAGGTACTTAGTGCAACTGAAATGAGAAAATCTTTGTCTTGTATGACAATGATTATTTAATGTTTTTGGAATATAATTCACATAATTACAAACTACAAAAGGTAATGTCAATTCTATAATTAAAAGTGATTGAAAAAACATTCAAAATAGTATACTCCAAACAGAGAAGCTATAAAAGAGATTAAAGTTTTATTTTGTGTGTGAATGTTTTCTCAACCAAGTTTATCGCACTATACTTATTTAGTGAGATTTTTATCTTTTGTATAATTTGCGAGTTATCCCACAATAACATTCCAAAAATAGCGGCCGCATTATATGATGAAATGAATAAAATTCATATTTAATCAAAGACTTTCGATTCGAATTTCTATTAAAAGACACTTCTCCATCATACGAATATAAATTCATATTAATTGAAGCCACAAATATTAAACACCAGAAAATGAAGGGATGGGGAAGGAATAGCTATTTAGCTGTCAGTTAATCTGAATTCAATACTTTTAACTTCAATCATAAATTTGTTATTTAAAATTTTACTAAAACTATATTATACTAATACTAATAGATAATTGATAAAAACCATAATTTTTGCTAAAACAAGTTCTAAGCATAAAATTTGTTTCTAATGACTTTCTAGTGGGGGGAGTGGAGACAAGCTTTGAAATTGAACAGACATCATAAAAATCCATGTTATTTTCCCAAGTGGTAGTAGTTGAGTCATTTCACTGTTTGTCTTTTTCAGTACCACTCACACTATATTTACAAAACCCTCCCCACATTTTACAAAATCTTCCTCTTTATCCCCAAATTTTTGGGTCATAAAAACAAAACAAACAAAAAAAGTTTAGGTGCACTAGTGATAAATTCTTTTTCTTCCTAACAATAAATTTTGTTAATCGGGAAGTTAGAAATTTTATTAAGATTTTTCAAAATTCAATATATACAAAGTTACAAAATATTGAAAACACCTTTAAACTTGACGCATTTTTAGGTGACTAATTGAATTTAAATATAACTCAATCTTCCAACATGAGTGAAATACATCTCTAAATTTTCGTCAAGTTTAAGAGTGTTTTCAACACTTCTCTCAACTTTTTATTAAGAGCCTCAAAAGTTTGAGACGACTTGCTATGTCATGTGACAAATCAAGAGTGTATTGAGTGTGTGTAACCTAAATTTTATTAGTCGAGTAAATGATTATTTTTAAGACTGTCAATAATTGATACGAAACTAATAATTTATTTCAAGTTCATAAGTATTTTCAATATTTCTATCCAAAAATATAAACTTTGATATTTCGTATATAATTTTTTAACAAAGAATATTTAACCGGCAATGCTATACATGACCCTACCCACTGCCTTGCCCCTTTGTTCATACTATTAAGCACAAGCAACAGTAGAAACAAGGGTCCATTTTCCATTTCCATCATAACCAAAACCAAAAAAGCAAAAGAAAAAACAGTGAAGAAAGAAGAAAGGTAAAGTGAAGAATTTGTTGAAGAAGAAGAAGAAGGAGAAGGGTATTTTTTTTTTGCTTTGAAGAAGATCGAAGAAATGCCGAATCAAAAGCAAGGAAGTGAACAGCTACAAACACTGATGCAATCTGGGCAAATTTCTGGGTCTTTTAGCTTTAATGGAACCTTATCTAAAGAAGATGAAGAGATGTCCAGGTCTGCTCTTTCTACTTTCAAAGCTAAGGAAGAAGAAATTGAGAAAAGGAAAATGGAAGTCAAGGAAAGAGTTCAAGCTCAACTGGGTCGGGTTGAAGAAGAAACCCGTCGTTTAGCCATTATTCGTGAGGTTTGTCTTCAATTTCATCCATTTTTTTTGCCTCTGTGTGAACTCGGTTATTCCTCTTTATAGTATTTGAGTTTTCTGAGTATTTTTTTTTCTGTAATCTGTAAACAAATGTACTGATTTTTTGCTTTGTAGCTCAAGAGTTTTGATTTTGGACTTGTTAATGTAGAAAATCGTTAGAGGAGTTTAGAGATCAGGTACTGTTAAGCTTTGAACACTTTTTTTTTGGAAAAAAAAAATTGGGGCTAGGGGAAGGGTAAACCGGTGAGGGATTACAAGGCGGGGAATCGAATTGCCTAGCAATAAGGTGAAAGTTCACATAGCCAATTAACTATGTGAAAGTTCACATAGCCAATTAACTGAGCTACTAAGATTTCTCGAATCTTTGAACATTAGTTTTGGGTTTTGATTTTTTTGATTTTTTTGTTTGTTTTGTAAAGTTAGGGTTAGTGACTATTAATTGGGGAAATGAAAAAGTTTGATAATTGAACAATTGTTGAAGGTTTTATGCTTTGGTAATTTGATTGAAATTAACACCATAACATAAGAATTAGTTGGTTAAGGAAGATAATCGTATTTTTGGCTACTAAATATGAGCATGGATATTGATAATTGAAGTGTTTGGTAAGGTTAAATCGAGAGTTTTCTTAGTTTTCGGTTAGTTTATAACTAATTAAATTCGACTTAATTATCAGGAACTTGAAACATTAGCTGATCCAATGAGGAAAGATGTTCAAACGGTTCGTAAGAGGATTGATGTTGTCAACAAAGAGTTAAAACCCCTTGGACAGACCTGCCAGAAGAAGGTGAAAATATACTATGTGCCATTATCTTCTTGAATTCTTGTTCACAAATTTTCCCTTCCATGGATAATAATCTTTTGTCCCTTTTCATTAGCTGTTTTTTTGTTTTCTTCCTCTTTGGGGAGGAGTGGGAGGTCGTTTCGTTAGTTTGTGAGATTGTGTATGATATAATAAGTCAAATCTAGTAATACATCCTCAGAGTTTAGTTAATCATCGAGATGTGGTTGTGAAGTGTTAACGAAATGTTTTGGATCCGGGGATCTTGATCCGTTGAATGCAGGAAAAAGAGTACAAAGAAGCTCTTGAGGCCTTCAATGAAAAACACAAGGAAAAAGTCCAGCTAATATCAAGATTGATGGAGGTAACTCTATAGTTTACAAGAACTTTGTATTGAACTTCATATTTGCAAACATTCTTATATGTTGATTGATGTACGTGCAGCTGGTGGGCGAAAGCGAGAAAATGCGGTTGAAGAAGTTGGAGGAGCTGAGCAAGAGCATTGAAACAATACAGTGAATAACCAGTAAAATCTCCCCTGACTAATTAGGCTTTGTGTGATGTATTTAAGAAAGTTCTTTTTCTCTATTTATATATGCGTGTGGCGTTTGATTGTATTTCCTTTTCTTTTACCGCGTTGTTGTCTGATCATTTTAGCTTTTGGAGGGATGATCAGTGTCTAATTTTAGGTCTCGTAAGGGAAAGACAGACCCTCTAATACAGGTTTGTAACTAAAACAAGTCTCAGAACAGTGGATTCTTTACTTTTGTCTTCACATCTCAATCTTTTTCTGTGTTGTTGATGACTGTGTTGCTCTAACCAATTTGCATAGATAATAGAGAGTTGGTTTGAATGTCTCTTTCAAGTTAGTTAGCTGATAGATAGACCTCTTTTTGGCCTTGTATTTGTCAACAAATGGCGAAATCAACTTGTTGATTATATTGCTCCTTTAATGACAATTTGCGTACACATCACCCTTCCCAGACCTCACTTGTGGGATTACACTAGGTATGATGTTGTCTACAGAATATCAATCACGATTTATCAAGGTGTTGTGGAAAATGTTTGTTTGATCCTAAACAATAGCAATATCACGAATAAATCTTGACAGATTTCTCAAGGAGGATTACTAGGGCTACATCATTATTGATTTGTTGATTGCTTTTTTGGCTGATTGATTAACTTGATTTATTGATTGCTTTTTTGGTTGATTGATTCTTGTAAAACAAGAATATGGTCAAGGAGACATCTGTTTCTGCTTTCATTTCCTACTAATTTGGTTGCCTCAAGCTTTGCCCCTTCTTTAAGAAAACAACGTTAGCGAGCAAAAGAATGGATGCGCCATGGCTTTCGTGCTGCCATGTTTGCTACAACCAACCAATTGTCTTATGCACCTAGCTGTTAGTTGATGTTCCATGGACAAAGCCACACTTAAAAGTTAGTTTACTAGCTCTTTTAGTTTAAAATCATGTGCTGATTCTTTAAATTAAGATGAAAATCATCTTTTTTAGTTTGGCTAACAACTTGAAAGTGGTTCATGTTATAAAGACACTCGGTATAATCCCACGAGTAAGGTCTGACTGACGAGGATAGTGTCTATTCAACCTTACCCCTAAATCATGGTCAAAGATGTGAAATGTGGCTACATTATGATACAATAAATTGTACTAGCATTTGCATTTATGTATATCCATTGGCTCTGGCAAATTAAACGGTACATTGCACAGGAATTCTGAACTCTGAGCAATAATGGCAGGTCTTGTCATGCAAATATGCCAATCAAACACCATATTCCCAAATGTTTGTTTTAAAAACTCAAACGGTAATATTGAATGACATCAATTTCCTAGTCCTAGTACTAAGTACGTTGGGATTTTATGTTTTCTTAAATTTGTTGTTTACCTTAATTTTCGCCTCGTTGGAACGGGCTCACTCTACACCTGGCAGAGGTGTACGTGCACCTACTAACTTTGGAAAAAAAAATCATGTGTATATATGTATATCTACTTTGAGAAAATGACAGAAATTAGAATATAAATAACAGTGCACCCATGAGAAGTATAAGAGTGCCCTTGTGTTGCCGGTACAAGTTAGAGAAAATCACCCTTGGGATCAAGGTTCAAATCCAATTAAAGTTTTTCTTCATTGTTTTTATTTTAAGTTTAGCTTAGAGCTCATATTGCAACTTAAGATAATATTGATGCACTCAAAATTTTTAAATTCTGGGTTGAAAACTTTATTGAATTGAGTTCGGTGTAGAAGGTTCAAGCAAGGGATGTGGATTGAGTCCAAGTTCTGGAGAAAGAGGGGGTTCACATCTGCCACCTAGTAATTTACTTTGCGCATAAGAGCTCGTCGTTGCCTTTCACCTTACATGTTCCGTTGCCATCTCTCCTTTTATCTATAATTTAGCTTGCTTTATCTCTACCAGAAACAACTTCACTACCTTTTTTATGTAAGGTAGGGATAAAATCTGCGTATACACTACCTTCTTCATACTCGACTGGTGGGTGATTACACTATTAAATGGCCTATGCTTTTAGTGAGCTATTAAATAAGAAAGCTTCTATCAACTAGCCAAATATAACAACAAAAAAAAAGTCCCCCTACTATAGGCTATAGCTATAAGAGGCAACTATTTTACAAAGAAAGCGCCACACAAAATAAATTTCAAACTGGTCCCTAAATTGACAACTAGCAATAAATTGAGTCCATTCATTTCTTCTTATTAGTCATTATCTCCCAAAATTAACTCACTTCATTCGTCGCACTGCGACGTATCTATATAAACTTGGCCAAACACATCTACTAGGAAAAAAAAATCAAATCCTATGATCGAGATAAAATTTTGTAGTTAGGAGCCATTGTTGTGTGGTTACTATTCGAGTATTTTTTTTCTCTCGATGATTTAAAGGTGACAACTCTTTACCTAGAAGATCATATTTAAAACAATTCTTATAGTTATACAAAATTTACGTCCAATTTCAACAAATTAAATCAATTGTGGACCCAAAAAATGAAAAATATTGAGAGAAGAAATTTGAGAAGCCAACTGTTTTAACCAGTATAGCACGTTAGTGAGAGTTGCAATGGGACCAAAATAATAATTAAAATTTCCCCACAAAGCAAGAGTGTGACATGTGAATAAAGATATATTTAAGACAGTGCCAATACCTTATTCTATGACAGATCAGGAAATATCCGTTAAATTATTTTAGTACGATAAATAAATATTTATTCATATTCGATGTTTATAATGAAATAAAATAATTTAATTTATTAGTATGTAAAATTCTACCATACAAATAACAAAACAATGGCTGCATGAGCTTATTGTTTATTTGAGTGCACTCGATTTCTAGCGGTGAAATATGCCCATAATTAGGTGATAAATAATATATTGTGATTCGTGTATGAGTCCAGCAATATATACTGTCAGTGTAAATAATTTTATAATAAATAGCTCACGAATTGCAAATGATACATTATTTTTGTGGGAAAAATGCATCTCAGAGGGGACATAAATGTATCAGAGAGGGAATTTTTGTAAACTTTTAAAATGGTATGAAATTTTAGAAATTTTTGTAATTTCATGGGTCATGCTAATCTTCTCTGTATCATTCCAATTTTATCGGATGTCCCAAAAGGAACATTATGATAAAATAAGATGTGTATTTATGTAATTTTTTGTAAAATGTATCCACTTTGAATGGAATTGTATAACCACTTTTTCTCCTTCACACTTTTCTTAGAGTTCTTAACAATTGTGATTCAAATTTCTTCAAGCAAATCTTCACAAACCACAAATTTAAACAAGAAGGAACATCATTCAATGCTTTTTTATTTTTAAACAACAGACAGGTTCAATCCTTGGTTCCACCCAATCTTCAAACATGGAGGCAAAATCAAACTCAATCAATTATATCCATTCGAGTACTCATTTATTAAGTTGATTCATTAAAAAATAGATTGATATGTAATCTAAATTGTCTCATAAGAAATATTGTCAAAGCAATTTTAAAAGACATATTTTATTTGATATGTGTTATATATATAATCATAATAAAAAATATTCTTTTACCAAGTACAGAAAAAATATTTAAGCACAAATAAATAAATTAAAACTCAATAGGAATTAGACGAGTTACGTTATGACCCACATTTAAGCCCAAGTACTTTTTTGGCGGATCAATAACCGGCTAAATTTAACCCAACCTACTCGACATATCTACTTGTAGATATCCCAATTTAAAAGAATTTGAATGATATGGGCTTTCAAAATATGTACAAAATGGGCCAATTTGGATGACAACTGAAAAACATGATCCACTTTGGGAACAAACTTGGGCAATCTGATAGTGGGCTTAGAGGAAATAGGCCAAAACTGACATGTTTTGCCCTTCAAATAGATTGGCCTTCAATTTTTACTCTTCAAATGAATTGGCCTTTTAACTTTGGAAAAATTATGTAGAATAACAAATATTTAACCTATATTAGGTACTATAGCTACAGTTTAAGAAAATTGTAATTCACAGCTACAATTTTCTCAATTTTTGTTATTCGCCTAATTTGTATAATTCGATTCCTGATTGTATAAATCCAGAATTTTGTATATGCTTACCCTAGCTATTTGTATACGATTCATAAAAAAATCATAATAAATTACTCAGTATATTGGCAAGCGAAATATACAAACGGAGTTCTGAAAAATTCTTAAATGTATAAATACTAAATTTGTATATACTAATCATATTTGTATATTCGCAAGCGAAATATACAAACGGTTTGAAATATACAAACTGCAACCTCCATAACAAACGAAACTATAGTTATAGAGCGCAATTATCGAAACTATAGCAATAGAACCTTATTATGTCTATTATGTTTGTTATTTCTGAAAGTTTCTCTTTAATTTTTGCTTCTCAACAATCAAACTTATATATAGTGAAACATAAGTTCTTTAGAAACTGAAGTCATACTCGATCATAACTTGTGGAGCATTATGATATAAAAATATAAATTTGTGCCTCGTAAAAAAGTGATATGTTATGAAGAACATAAATCAAAGATCAACACAAATTAGGGATAAAAATACAAATGAACACAAATTAGGGATAAAAATACAAATGACCCCAAAATACGCCTCCATTAAGTACAAATCAATGAGATCTTATTATTTGTGTTGATATTTAAAGAAACTCACATAAATCTCTAAATTTGAACATTTATTTTGACTCAATCCAACTCATATCAAGCCCCACCTTCACCATCCCCTAAAAAAACCAAAAAAAGACAGATAGTTATATGTCTAAACAAGATTAGTTGATGGTATTCACTATAAATCTATAATGCTTTAAGGATCAAAAGATGGAATCTATTTCTTCACAAACAAACTTTAAACAATATGGGGCAACAATTTATGGATTCCACTATCTTTTTTTAACTTTAGTGTTTGGTGATTTTGTTGTTAATTATATTGTACTTTAACGGACAAATATAATATCATGAATATGATATAATATAAGCTCCTCATTCACTTTATCTTTTTGGCTGCTTCCATTAACAATTATAAGCAATCCCCCCACCATCATCATTATCACAATACTAATTCATATTTCACTATTAGCATTGCAAATGGACTTTAGTTGCCTTTTGTTTCAATAGAAAAATATATAATATTGATATGATTTGGTCAAGCGAATCTACATACTAAAAATTAAATTAGTGATGTGATCGTATCATAGTTGGCCACATGTATAAAATAGTATATCAAAATCGGATATATATTTTGTTGAAAAATCCTGGCATGAATGAGCACTTTGTTGAATAACAATGGTATAAATGACCTTTTCTCAAAGTTCGATTAGCATTTTATGCTTTAAAAAATGACAAGGATTAGTCATGATAATCTTGATTAATCACCATTATTATGCTTATTTAGAATGTTTTGTGGTAGGTGAGTTAATTCCCACATAATCATTGTTAAATTTTGTCTGATTCCATTTGTTCAATAGCTAAGACTGTTTTGGAGCTTTTATAACGGTAATCAAGGTGAATTCTAATTAACTTATATATGACGTGTTAGTAAGGATAACTATGATTAAGAAAATCTTAAATTAATCCTAAATATTATCGTCTACATATAATAAGTTTTAGTTCGTTTTGACAATCTATTTGTAATCACTAGTAGTAACTGTGATAATCTAATGATATATATCCTTTACTATCAAAAAAAAAAAAAATTAAAGTGAAAGGTGAAATATGTATTTAGTAAGTACATTTTTTACTTTGGACACAGAAATAATATTCTTTGCTTAAAATCATATCAAAGAATTGGTTCTTTCCTACCTACACAAGCTTTCTTGAACTTCAAGTTCATAAAAAGTTGCACCCATGGCATGGTACAGATACAACTACCCATCTTTATAGTGGAAGTGTATAAATTAAGCGAAACGTATAGTCACTAAATTAATAGTTATTAATTAATAAAGTCATTTTGATTTTTTGTAACAAAGAAAGTGATTGAAGTAATGATTAACGTGAACAGTCAAAAACATCCAAATAGTTATTATCTCATAAATCATTTTTGACTTTTTGTAACAAAGAAAGTGATTGAAGTAATGATTAACGCGAACAATAAAAAATATCCAAATTTCATAATCAGATGTGAAATTCTTAGATTTATCTAAAGAATCATTAGAAGATTTATTTCTTAATGACATTTCATATTTGTCTTTAATTAAGTGGCAAAATAGTTAAGTAATTTATAAACACAACAAAATTAGGTTTCCAAAGGATTTATTGGTATTCTACTCTGTGAATGTTTTTCAACGGATTTTACATTAGAAATCCTCCAATGATACGTCCATTAGAAATTCACGTTTTTTTAGGAGTGAGCTAAATGAATTAGCTCCTCTCCTAATTCGTCAACTAACAATCCAAATATAGAAAAAGCAAATTCTATCGCGGTTTCTTCTCTTTGATCTTGAAACTCATTCCAATCATCAAACTCACTTTTCAAATTCGATTTTACCATCATATCGATGGTATTTGATCTTAATTCTTGCGATGATAAATCTATCTTCTTGCATTCTCTTCCAAAAACGGCTTCTCCATAGTTCAAACTTTTAACTTCAAACTTTTCCTCGAAAATCAAGTTAAAAACTTGACATTCTTCTTCCTCTACGCGATCATCATCTTCTTCTTCTTCTTCTTCCTCGAGCAATATTTTCTCGAGTTCAATTGGATCTAATTCAGCCAATTTCTCGAATCGACGAAGCTTAGACAAAAGTTGTTGTTGTGCTCCTATTAAAAAGAACACAAGATCACATTAATTTTGAACATCTTCAATAATCTCTAAGCTTTTATTAGCAAGCATGAATATAAAAGAAGAATATAAACTTAAAATAGTCTATATATAGATGTATACTATAAGTATAACTATGTATAATTAACGTATACTGGCTAGAAAAAATAAAAGTTAGAATATGGCCTACTAGGGCAATGAGTCATGTATTTGTGTAAGGACAAAGTGACGTCATATGTCATATTCATACATGTACAAGTACAACAGCCACACGTACAACATTGTGATTAAGACTTTTGATCCCACACACAACAAATTAAATAATTCAAATATCAATATCAGCATAATCAAAAAGATACTCAAATGAAATGACTTTACATTTTATATATATATATATATATAAATGTCCTGAATAAACCAGAGTTTCCATAGCCATTGAAAATGACTTCACAACCAATTTTATTTTAAAAAAACTATATTACGTGTACTGCTACAATAACATACCCAGTGTAATATCACAAATAGGATATGAAGAAAGCTGGTGTGTACGCGGCCTTAGCTTACCCCTATCTTCTGATAATAAAGAGATTGTTTCTAATAGATTCTCGATTCAAGTAAAACATACTACACTATTCAATTAAATTGAAAGATAGCACAATTCTTATTTAAAAAAAAAAAAAGAATTCAAGAATATTAAGATTATTTTATCGTACGTACTTTGTACAAGTGCATAATTGCAATCGAGATCAGAATCCTCATCCTCATCCTCATCCTCGTCCTCGTCCCCGTCTGCATGTCCATCCTCCTCCTCAAATGGAGGATCCAATACAGAAACTGGACTGCATTGCTCTTTATCTTCTTCTTCTTCTAGTTGATCAATACTTGCCAACCCTATAATTGTTTCATAATTTTCTTTGTCCTAAACACAAAAGTCAAATTAATCTTCCAATTTAGTTGGTAAAAAACTGAATTAAACTCATTTTTGAATGAGACATCCATTCAATTTTAACTGTCGTTTTAACTCTTTTCACGTTTTGTTAAAAAAGAAGGAAATAGGGCTGACTTTTATTCAAGACAAGTTAAAATTCATGAACAAGCATACGACCAGAATTTAATGAAAAAATTGTCTTTTTATGGGTCCAAAATTTAAAATGACAATATATTTTATTGTCATTTTCCTTGAAAGTTCTATTTTCCAGACAAGGCCTAATAGAAAAAAGATTTTATATTGGCAGAGGCGTGATCTCAAGTACACTTACCAAAACATGAAAAAAATTGTTTTTATTTGATATTCCATCCGTGTCTAAAAGTCCTGACTAATTTGAATTTGTGTTAAGATAAAATACTTTTATCGAATATAACATTTCATACTTTTATATTTAGAACTCGAATTTCATATCTGATTGATTAAAGATGAGTGAATAGTTATCATTCTACCACAACTTATTGTGATCCTACTTCCTGCATAGGAAAAGCAAAATAATTATTCGGTAATTATCATATGAGTGATTTAAACTCATTATTGATGTACACTTATCCAAACAGAAAACCTTTTTAATATGATGATTTCGATAAAAAATAAAATATGTTCGATATATTGATAATCAAACAAGCATATATTATTAAGTAGTACAATTATATATTTGAGACTCTTTACATATTATTTCCTCAGTTCCAATTTATATCATTCGACACACTTATTTTTTAATATATTAAAAAAAAAAAAAATTCACAATTTTATAATTTTGTCGGTTCAAAAAATAAGTCACAATTATAATTAAAAAACCTTAATTTTTTTTTTTTATCTTTAATAAAATTATTCTTATTATTATTATTATTATTATCATTTTACATAGGTTAAGTTGAAAATTCAGCTAATCAACTAACTGAGTTAGTAAAATCCGTCTCACGAATATATACTATATTTATTTTAGATCATAATTTTAAAAAAAACCGCAATTTTTTATTATATTGTCACATGAAGTTTTTACAAAAAGAGTACTATACTCTGAGACTTGGTATAAAAGATTTAGTAAATTTAATTGTGTAAAAAAGATTTAGTAATAATTTTAGAGTCATAATGACTCACGGATAGAAACCGACAAAAGTAAAAAGACAAACCTCTTTCTTGTGACAAACCGGAGAAGCTGCCGGCGATGTGAATTCCGGCGATACATAGCCGGAGGTCGACGGGCATCTTTGAAGAGAAAATCTAAAAGGGCTTAACGGAGACGAACCAAAATCACCATAATTGCTATAATTCTCCATATCAATTAACTTCCCTTCATTGATTTCACTGTTAACTCTGCTATTATTACACGAACATGAGAATTTTTTTTCACCATTTTTATCGCTATTTCGATCCTTCAATTTCTTCAAAATGGACCCAAAAACCCCAAATTTCACCTTTTTGATTTGGGTTTTTGGTTTTGATGAACTCTGTTGTTTTTGAATCCTCATTGCAGCTTCAAGAAGCAGAGCAGCTGTTCTTGCAGGTACATTAAGAACAAATCTCCCATTTTCCGGGCTCTTTGCCGGCGCCGGCGAAGGTAAACACAAAGGGGATTTTCTTAATTCCGGTGATTCTCCGAAGGAGAAAAAACAAGTATTTTTGCATAATTTAGATGATGGGGTTTGATTAATTTGCTTTTGAAATTTTTTGATTTGTAAAGAGGAAGTTTTAGAAGAAGAAAAATTAAGTCTTTTGAGATGAAAACGTTTATTAGCAGTGTAAAATGGTTCTTGATCTTCTTTTAGAAGCTCATGCAAATGCTTCTGTGCCATAATTCAACAACAAAAAAAAGAATTTTCTTAAAAATTCAAGATATATAAAGGGGTTGTGAGTTCTTGAAGTATAAAATTCAGAATTGAAGAGAATTCAACATAAAAAAAAACCAGAGAAAGTTGAACAGATATAAGTAAGAGGTGATTTAGAAGATCGAGGCAATTAATTTACTATAATGTTGGTGAATGGTGAAACAAATTAATTTACCTATAAAAAGACAAGAAAAGAGTACTCTGAATGTAATTTGTGGTAAATTTTCTGATTCAATAATTGAAATGGCTGTAACTGTAGTTGTAAGACTTTTTTTTTGTGTAGCAGAAACAGATGGCAAGGTCGTGATAACTAGTTGCATAGGTCTCTATTAATTAGCACAAAAAATGGCCCTTTCTGTCTCTATAATATGTGTGCGTGTGGGTGGGAATTTCTAGGAAATGCAGGGATTAGGAAACACAGAGGGTGCAAGTGATGTGTAGTTGATTAGTTTTATTTTTATTTTGTATGATCGTGGTGTTCGAGTCAGCTTTCGTATATTTTAACTAACTTCACTGTATTTGTCACTTCTAATCAACAAGTATCATGTAACTCTTTTCACCAAGGCTAGGATATATGAGAAGAATAATCTAGCCATTTAGGACAAAGGCGTCCACATAGAGTCTATTAAGTGCTCGAGCATCCATTAACCTCGTCTCGGAATCTATGTTGAAATTAAGAGGTATTTGTATAAAATTATCATAGAGCACTCAATGAATAAATGATCTGATTGGTCCATTGGCTTTTGGGTGGGTGTTTAAGGCTCTTTTAGTGTTGTTGAGCCTGATTTATTATTTGGTTGGCAAGTTCGGAATAACTAATCACGAAATTAACAATTGGTACCGCAATAAGTATTGCTCTCCTTGAGTGGTATAGTAATCTTGGGATAAAATAGGCAATGACAAAGATATCCGTTTAAACCCTTTTTATACATCTTTTTTCACATTCATGAAGGGTAGCTTTGTAAATAAATAACTTGTCTTAAGATTTATGCAATGCATATTATTTTGAATACAATAAACTAAACACTCAATACGAAATAATCTCAACATAATTTATCTCAGTATAACTTATCTCATTATAACTAATCACATCATAACTTGTATTCAAATCAAGCAACTACTTTCATCACGAAGAGTTAGAAACACATTTAAAATTCTCATTTTTTTATGAGTTTCATATCTTAACACGCTATTATTATATTTATATAATATACTTCAATACTAAATTGATCAAATATTTATTTACAAATCAACAATAGATTTATATAGGCCAATTCAACTCATGATGTGTTTTAATATGAGACTGATAGCTAAAATATAAAATTCGTGAAAAAATGATAATTTAGATAGATATATAGAAGGGAGCAAATAGCAATGATAGCTTTGGTCCCTTTTTTTATATAATATATTTTATGGTATAGTACTCTTTAGCTACAGTGAATTTATTGCAGTTTTTTCTGCAAAACGAAGACAAAAGGTAGGCAGCCAGCGGCCAGCTAACTGGCTAAGTCACGGAATGCTCGAAGAGCGCTCAACCTTTATGGATCACTTACAACTTTCACCATAACTTTTGTTTTTTCATTCCACGTCGATATTTGTATTGAAATTTGATTAAAGTTAAATTCGTGTAGAGAAATTATAGAAAAAAGGGTTTGAAAAATACTTAAATTTTGACCGAAATTGTTGTTATTATACCATACTTTATGAAGGACTTTTTACCCCTTGCACTATTTAATAGTATATTTTAAAGGTATATATGTACTCATGTTGACACATTACTATTTATGATGTCCACGTGGATATATATATACCTTTAAAATACACTATTAAATAGTGTAGGGGGTAAAAGGTTCTTTCCAAAGTTCGATATTATTAACAATTTCAGTCAAAGTTCAAATATATTTCAGATCTTTTTTCCGAAATTATATGTTGAGGTAAATGTTTCAAAGATAACTCAAATACAAAATTTGTTAAAAATAAAAAAGTACTTATCACTCCACCACAATCTAAACGATACATTTCACCGTACGTTGCTACTATTGATATCATCAGCACAATTACTTTTACCTTTTGTATACATGTATTATCTATGTAACAACTTTTTACATATTGTCCAACAAACTTACGTGAATTTGTTACTTTGAGCTACGTCATCATCAATTCAAGGAGTATTATTCCGTTATAAGTTTGTCAGTCCTTCTCTTTTAACTAACTGAGCATCATAATATCACTTTTAACTCGCTCTTTATTATGGACCATGAGCGTCATAATGTCGCTTTTCACATATCTTATTTTTAAGATTATAAATTTGCATAGTAATAAATCTTTATTATAACATATAACAAACTCAAAAGTAACATACTAATGTATGATGGTTGTTGATTTGATTATAAAAAAGTATTTTAAATTTTGGAGGCAAGAGAAGAAAATAAATTTATTGAAGAGTGTAATTGTCATCGTTTGATTAAAGTATTTCCATAACAACATCAAAATCCCTTAAAACAAGGAGGATAATCTTCATCACCTTAGCCACCACATAAAAATAATCACTCTTTGTGTCCCAATAAAAGCTTCTCAAGCTACTCGTGAGTGGTCCTAGATGAAGTCATAGTAATGATTACATGGTTTCTTCGTTACTGTATTTACTTTTCAAGATTGAAATAAGATTTGTGTACATATTATCTTTCAGACTCTATTTATGAAATTATACTTGAATATGTTGTTGGTATAGTACTAATGAAGTTTGTGCAACACCATACCTTTTTTCCGAATAAAGGGGGTTATTACGCCTCGTGATATTTCCACCCCCTCATAGATTGTACCAATGTTTTTTTTCACTACACCCTGTGTGGGTACTCGCCCCAAAATCCAATTGGGGGTCTGCAGAAAGTAGAGTGTACGCAGATCTTACTACTATCTCATGGAGATAGAGAGGTTGTTTCCTAAAGACTTTAAACTCAAATGCATCAAACCCAAGTAAAAGAAGAAGAAGACAATGAAGAAAGCATAACAGTTAATACGAAAATAGTGTAGAGCCTACAAGACAGAAACAATACCATGTGATAATCAAAACACAATACACAACATATGCCGATAGACAGCAAAAGAAGGGCATGACAACACTCTACCCCTAAAGACAATGACTACTATTATTTTGAATAAAGCTAAAGCATAATCTTGTGTTGGTTCCAAACATTGACAAAAAGCCATTTTCTTTATGGACCAAAACTTCATTATGCATACCAACCATTTCAATGCATTAGTTGCTGGAAAGCTTCATTGAGAGTCTCCACAACATACACATAACCAAGACTCTCAGCTCGACCCCTGAATTTATCAACCTCGTTCTGTGGAACTTGGAGTCCGATTAGCACATTCCCACCAGTTTCTCCCTTTCAAATAGACGAAAAAAAGTTACTCAATAATAAATACTAGCAGAGCAGAAAGACTACAAGATAGTACCAAAAAACGAACAATGTGACAACGAGATTTCTTGTATAAGGTACCTGTGCACGGTAATGTAACAAACTTATATTCCAACTTGGGCTGAAAGCGTCTAAAAACTTCATCAAAACACCCGGCTTGTCTGGGAAAATGAATCGACAGAGTTGCTCATTATGTACATCTGATCTCCCACCTATCTGCAACAAATTATAGCAGAGATAGAGAGATTACGAGCCATCAATATCCGATGATCACCACAATAATTCGTTAAACAAAGTAGAAGGAAAGGAAGCACATCAATCCTTGATTGATTAGTATAGTCAATAACGATAGGAGCATAGCAGTAAAACGTTCCAAACAACTAATTGATCACGAGACCAACACACATGTTTAGATTCACGTGATAGTAAGAAGAGATATGAAAACAGTACCAGATGTCTTAGATGATCTTTAACCAATTCATTATCTGTATAATTAATCGTATGCAGTTGTGATGATTCCATCCTGTCTACCATTTCTTCGAGTTCAACTTTCGTGTGAAGACCAACTCTGCCATATGAAAAAAATGAATATATCTACGAATTCATAGATTTCCATTCAACTATAAAATTAGTTAACATTCTGTTTAAACGATACCTGTAAAATACTCGAGCATTTTCTTTCTCAGAATCATATCTGTACTTCAATTCAGTAATATTAGTATGTCCCACCATCTCGTAGAACTTTTTGAAGCTGCCTCGTTCTTCAGCCATATAAGTAGAGAGAACAGCTTCCCTCTGTCTACCAACATCCGCGAGTTCAGTTACCAATCTAAGTCTGTCAAAGTTCATGTTGGCTCCACTAGTTATTGCTACGATGTTTTCTCCCTTTACACCATAGTACTTACAGTATGCTTCAGCTCCAGCTAGGGCAAGTGCACCAGCTGGCTCTAGTATGCTTCTTTTCTCTTCGAACATGTCCTGTTCAAAACAGGACTCAACAGTCACATCAAAAGATTCAAAATTCGTATACTAACAAGTAACGTAACATACAATATGTTAGTGCTGACTAACCTTTATCGATGCACTTATAGAATCATGATTAACTAGGACGATCCCATCTATTAGTTCCTTGCAGAGACGGAAACTTTCTTCACCAACCATTCTAATAGCTACTGCATCTGCAAAAGATCCAACTTTTTCCAGCATTACTCTTTGACCGTGGTGTAATGCCAATGCCATTGAATTGGAATCGACTGGCTCAACACCAATAATCTTCGTATCAGGGGAGACTTTTTTCATATAAGCAGCAATGCCAGCTATAAGACCCCCTCCACCAATAGGCACAAATATCGCGTGTATCTTATCTTTGAATTGGCGGTTGATCTCCATTCCAACCGTACCTTGCCCTATTATGATATCAGGGTGATCAAAGGGAGAGACGAATGCACGTCCTTCTTCTTTGCCCTGAGCTACAGCATATGCTTGTGCTTCTTCGTATGTATCCCCCACACGAACAACAGTAGCACCCAATCTCTCAACTGATTTCCACTACAAAAAAACGGATAAACTTTTATTATTAAAAGAACAGGATGAATTGAAATAGGAAGCTATAAGTAATTCAACAATACTAACTTTAATTTCTGGCGTAGTAACGGGCATCACAATCACAGCATTGCAGCCGAGTTTCTTGGCAGCTAATGCAACACCTTGTGCATGATTTCCCGCTGATGAGCATATAACGCCCTTTTCTAACTGCTCCTTTGAGAGTTTTGCCATCATATGGTAAGATCCTCTGACCTTGAATGAGAAGACCTGCCAATATGAGTATACCACAATGATTGTGAGTCAAAAGGCTCAAAATTAGATAAATACAGAACACATACAGACTTAAAAACTTGCTCTACTTGGTTGAGCTGAATAAGAAACAAGGCAGCTATCGTAATCATAAACTCGAGTATTAAATAATCAGGGAAGAAAAAAATCAACATGAATAGCCAATAAATTCATGTTCTAAATCCAAAATCAAGCAGAGTTCTCACAGCTCGCCTGCATAGTCAATCTCATCTAACATAAATTTTAACAAGAGTATATCTATGCTAAAAGATTACGGGTGTGAATTCAAATCCATGGAAGTTACTACAGAGGTGAATTCAGGATTTAAAGTTTATAAGTGCAACATCACATTGTTATTTACAAGCTCCAAATAGGGTAAATATTTGATCAATTTTGGGGCTTCAATCCAGGTCCTTCGTCTCTTCATTCATATAGACAAATCGATCAAACAAAAAAATAAATTATGACTAATTAGTGTAAAGGATAATTAGTATAAACTAACAATCTTTCAACAATATGAGTAATATCATGAATATACAACATTCATATATATATTATTTGTTTTATGATCATGGTATCCATGCCAGCTTGATTAGTTCCACGTTATACTACCCACTTCCCACCTCCCACCTCCCACCTCCCACCAATGAAGTAACTCGGTCCACCAAGGACATGACTTATGGAAAGAATCAGCTAGTGTTTTTTAAACTAGCGGACCTCAAGTTCACCACCCAAAACTTTAACATAAAAACATCATGAATACTACAAATTAACACCAAACTTCAACAAATAGGAGTATTCAATAACACTACAAAAAGATAAAATTGAGTAGTAAAAATATACCGGATGAAGATCTTCACGTTTGAGCCATATATTTACCCCTAACCTCTCTGATAACTTATGTGCACGCTGCAATGGCGTCTCCTCAGCTAATTCATACACTTTGGACGTCAATATTTCTTTGACGTAATTGTAACCGATTTCACCACGTGGATAATTCGGTAACAAATAACCTTCCTCGCATTGTAACGAACTCGGATGTACTACTGGTATCAATGTATCATCAGTCTTTGAAATTTTCAAAGACTCCGCTGCCGTAACAACCGCCGCTGGTTTAGTAATGGTACCACTAATAAACCTAGTTCGTTTTGTTTTTAATTTTGCGCCAGGTTTAATGGCGTCGAAACGAACAACGGTGAATGCTGTGCCGGTGAATGTTGCTCCGGTGAATCGGAGAACGTCCATGGTTATTGAGGTGGAAGATGAAGAGCAGCAAAGATAATTTTATAAATATATAAAAGAGGAATTGACTAATCCTATAATGTGGAGTAATTTTCTCAAACACTATCAAATATCTCTTATAATTACTCTATATTCCTCTCTTTTCTCTAACCGCAATTCATTAACAAGTTTTAATTTTTTCATTATATTTTTAAATATATTAATCAACAAGTCTATAATCACAAACTAATTATATTATTCGGCATGCTCGACAATTCTTTTTATCTCAAACTAATTACAATATTCGACCTATGCATGCAAAAAATAAAGAAAAAAATTAAGTCTATTTTAAACAAATTTTGTACATTATTAAAATATTTGGATTCAATATAAAAATGTTATTGATTTACAAATCACTTGCAGATGCAAAAAAGTTTTAAAACGTTTTTTTTATTTTTTATTTTAAGGGAAGGCGCAAACTTCTATGCGCTTCGCCGTGCGTCTTGCAAGACTCTGACAGCGTGTGCCTTGTAAGACGCATAGTAGTTTGTGCCTTACTCCTTCTAACCTGATTTATACGGCGTTAATTTAGCATTGAAATGTTGTCCTTTTGGTTTTCAACTCACTTTTATTTTTTTGACTTAAAATTATTTCCGTTTAACCTTTTTTTTTTATTTAAAAGCTACTTTTTTTTAAGTCAATCCAAATGGGCTCTTAAAAGTCACTTGATGTTCTAATTTCTAAGCTTAAAAAAATGGCAAGTCACATCTTTTTGTTAGAGAAATTTAAGGTTCCTATTGGAGCAAACTATAGCTAATGTAGTCTAGATGAATTATGCACAGAAGTGAAAATTGCGAAATTTCAAAGATTATAATCAGAAAACTTCATTATTTTGCGACAAAAATTAAACAACACCAAAGTTAATTTATATATATATTATCTATATATCCAGGAATTAGGAGTATCTCTTCATTTTTTTCAAACCATATCAAATACTATCTCCTATAATTTCCCAATTTTCTCAAACCATATCAAATATCTCCTATCATTTTTCTATATTTATTTTCCCTGATTTTTCTGAGTACAATGTATTACTCCATAGAAATCCTGTAATTTCCCTATATTTTCCATATTTATTTTCCCTGATTTTGATTTTTTTAAGTACAATATATTACTCCATATTATTTTTTTCTAGCTATCGCAGCATCTTCAATATCACAATTAACAAACAATAAGGAAAAGTGTAAGACCATCATCAATGTTGTGCTCAATATCAGCAGGAACTTCAAGACCATCATCAATGTTGCGCTCAATATCAGTAGGAACTTCAAGACCATCATCCTGATCATCATAAGCAACTTCATCAGCAAGAGGTGCACGCGCGTTTTGATTACCAACATCAACTTAATCATGTCCCGGCGCTTCCTCAACCGGCGGCGGTGGCTCAACGGCAATGGTATCTGCCACCAGTCTTATTATAACTAGAATAACAGACAAAACTATCGAAATATATGTCCTAGCATGGTTAAAGCCATAGTCTCTGATTGTCATGTTTATCAGTAAATTAAACTAGATAGGGAATAATGTAGTCCCCAGTCGCTGGCCACCGGCCTGAATAGCATGAGCCAACAGAAGATCGCAATCAACCCAAAAGAAAGGGCCAAGTACAGTTTCATGTCTAATGTCAGGTAAGTCGAAATGAAATGAGACAAGATGCCGTTCACCAACCAACCGAGGGCTTCCATGTATCTTACCAAATTAGGAGGAACTATAGGTTGAGCATGTAAATCTCCATAATAGGCAGATACACGCCACCATGTTGGATAACAATTCCCCCATCCAGGCTAGATTAGCAACCGTCACTCCCTGTCTTACGCTAATACAAGTCAAAGTAATAATATGAAAGACAGCAGCGGCGACTATCCATACAATTTTCTCATTCTGTGATAAAGGCATTATGCCTTTTGCTTGGGGAAGACGATAGAGTTTTTTATTCCATATGAATCCTGTAATTTCCCTATATTTTCTTTTATTAGTACAATTTATTACTCCATAGATGGGTTTTCTACCTAGCTATAAATTTCTCTAATTTTCTTCAAAAAAAATTTAAACTATATTATAAGTAATCTTTACTACCCTTTATTAAAACTATGTCAGGTATGAAGAAGTAATTTTTTTCAGGTTAGTACCATCCCATTAGTATTCTTCAACGGATACTTAAGATTATGTTTAATCATATCATGTAAATAGATCTTAATCTTTATGAACTTTTATTGTTGAAATAATTTTTATCAAGAGTTTTAAAGATTATGTGTACCGTATGAAGCGAATTGTAAACATGAGAAGAAATAAGATTTTAAAGGTTTTTTTGCATTTTCAAATATTGAACTACATTGCTTTTTCTCTACCCTAGATCTTTTTTTAACCTATGTTTTATATAATATAACGTAGTCATGTAATATTTCTTGATGGTAAAGTTTATGCAGTTAATGTTATCAAATAATTGGTGTCTCGCAAAAAGAATAGAAGAAAATTGCCTTTTCAGATCTCTAGTAATAAATAAATAAATCATTAAACTAATTTTTTTTTGCAAATTCGATTTTCCCACTTTTCTTGGCATCTTGCCTTTACTAGAAAAGGGGAGCCCGCACGGCTCAATCACCATTACTAATTTTAACTAATAATGTTTATTTGTCTTTAATTTGTTGTACTTCTAATTTTTTAAATATAATAATATTTTTTTTTTAACTAATACTATTAACCATCTAACAATAACATTAGAAATAAAAAATAATTTATATATAAAAAGATCGAGAATATTAACAATTTAATTTTTTTTCTAAGATTGATTTTCATGTTATATTTTACTTTTCTATTACAAACATTCCATGTATAATGTGGCATAATTAGAATATGAAGCAACAAAGACCTCATTTTGCTCATATTAAGAATGGAGCTATTCATACGATTCTACTCAACCACAAGTTTAATTTGTTCATATACTCACTCATTTACAAACAAATTAAAACAAAATGTATTATTAATGTAACTACTTTTAAGCTCATCCAGACAAAATTCATAAACAAAAAAATTGTAGAACATGTGATTTAACTTAAAAAAACTGAAATTGGAGCTGAGACTGAACTAGAATTTCCAAAAAATACACACATAAAAATAATTATTATGGAGAGATGTGAGTCGAGTAGCGTTGGTGAAGAAGGCAATTACAATAGCTCAGATGAACCATTCAAACCTGTTCCCTTTGTTCGCATTCTTTGGATTGATAATTCTGGCATTCATAGATGTCGTGTAAGTGATTTTTAGATATTTATTTACTATAGTTACGTGATTTAATGGAGCGTGTTAATTAATAATGATTAAATGTGCATGTCATACATGTATTGATCTGATGTAAACATCGGATGGGATTAACTTTTGACCTCGAACAAGTATGATGAACAAGAGAGAAATGATATTTCAGAATTCTCTGGTTAATTATGGTTTAAATAGTCTATATATACACATCCTATGTAAGAGATCGAAAAGAGGATCATTGGACCTAGTTCTCGTGGTCAGAGGCAGAGTAAAGAAAGTCTTAGATCTTTGTTTTTTTTCGTGGTATGGACCAAAGCAAAGGTTTTGTTGCTATCGACACCTACCCAATTAAACAAAAGTATAATCTTGAGTTCTCACATTTGTAGGTGATGGGCAATTTGGTCTTTCGAAAAGTCTCACCTCATAAACTTACTTTTGATTCGTTAAGTTATGTTTGAAGTTAATTTTTTGTATTATCATAATAGACCTAGACTCATCCCAATTCATGATCTATTCAATATTGGATCCGAATCTTCTATTGTCCATGTTTCATATGTCCAATCCTAGACGTGCAGGGGTGTTGAGTTCCCACTTTAGTATGTGATGGATTATTTTAATGATTTATTCGATGTTGAGTCTACATCTTCTATTGTCCACGTTTCATATGTCCAATCCTAGACGTGCAAGGGTGTTGAGTTACCAACTCACAATGTGATGGATTATTTGTTCATCTTGGGCAATTCTCATCTCATGAGCGAGTTGAGTTAAGTCCAAAAGCTGATTGAATTTTATTCACTTATGTGAATCATTTACAGGTTATTCCAAGAGAACGTCTCAGCTTCGTGAAAAAACATGGTTTAGGATTAAGTCCTGCATGTCTTGCTGCACTCAGTTCAGTATCTAATTCCCCCGCGGAGGGTACTAATCTTGGATTTACAGGCATGATCAGAATTATTCCTGATTTATCAACCAGATGCAAAATCCCCTGGTACTAATTTATGTTTTGATTCTGGTTTATGTAACTACATTAGGTTGTTTTTATCGATTTCGTTGATAGGACATATTACATAAGACACTCTTTTGTTTGTAGAAATAACATAACAATGACCTGTATTCTAAGGAGCAGAACTCAATAGGTTTTGTTCCAAATGATGGGGTAGAGTAAATATGGTATGTGGTTACCAGAGACGTAGAGGTAGGCCGAAGAAAAATTAGAGATAGGTGATTAAACAGAACATGACACGTTTGCAGCTTACTGAGGACATGATCCTATATAGGAAGATATAGAGGACGAGATTAGGGTAAAAGGTTAGTAGATAGTCGAGATTTGTCTAGGTTACTTAGTAGTGTTGTTGTTATTACTCTTCTACTATATTATTCTTCGATTTTAGTATTACCTATTGTTTCCTTTGCTTCAGTTTTCTTCTTCATTGATTTCGACATAGCTTCTCCACTACTATATTGATTTGTAATCATGTTTGATGTGGATGTGTATCTTTTTGATCCAGGGAAAAACAACAGGAAATGACATTAGCAGACATGTGTATTGAACCAGATAAACCATGGGAATACTGTCCAAGAGAAGTATTTCGAAGAGTCACTAAAATTTTAAAAGATGAATTTGACTTGGTATGTCTAGCTAGTATCTTTCGTTGCAAGAGTCGAAAAGTCTTATTGATCTGATACATATCTACATGTTTCAGGTTGTGAATGTAGGCTTTGAAATCGAATTTTACCTATTGAAGAGTGTAATAAAGTACGTTACTCAATTTTATGTTCATTTTCTCATCTTGTAAACTGTTACACTAAATTTGTATGAATAAAATTACATAAAGGAATGGCAAAGAAGAATGGTTACCAATCGACAAGACCTCGTACTGTTCTACATCAGGATTTGATGTTTCTTCATCGATATTAGAAGATATCGTTACTTATCTTCAAACGATGAATATTACAGTTGAACAGGTACATTTCCATTTCCTTTTAAGACGAAAGTTAACTCACAAATTTTCAGTCCAGTAAAGATAGTTCCTCTTGTTGTGTCTTTCAACTATGTAGGTACACGCGGAAACTGGAAAAGGTCAGTTTGAAGTTGTCCTGGGATACGCGGAGGCTAGTACAGCAATTGCTAGCTTAATTTATGCGCGTGAAGTCATCAAATCAGTTGCAAGACAACACGGGCAGATGGCAACTTTTGTTCCAAAGTAGGTAGAAGATTTTACCTCAAACACTTTTAGCTGCATGCATTTCCCCTTTTTGAATTCAAATTCTATAGTACTGATGATTAAGAATAGAACGCGTTTTACACAATCAGATCACTTTAAAGGTAACTATTGAAATATTATTCGTATGCCAATGATCTCAGGGAGATAGAGAGATTGTTTCCGATACTGATATATCCTCATAGTATGTGACATTTTGGGCATTTTTCCTAGCTAGGTATGCAGAGGATGAAGATGGCTCGGGATCACATGTACACATAAGTTTGTGGAGGAATGGAGAAAACATTTTTATGGCATCTGGAGATTCAAAATATGGAATGTCGAAGATAGGGGAATCGTTCATGGCTGGAGTGTTAAATCATCTTCCTGCCATATTAGCTTTTACTGCAACACATCCTCTTAGGCAAGTCATTTTTGATAATCCTTACTGTCATTACTATCCGGTGTCAAATGTACTTGATTCGATTGGAAATACTTTCAGCTCGACTACTCTGTTATGGATTCAACTTTAACAATCAATAAAGATTTTCTAACGATCTATCACGTGTAGTTATGAGCATTTGGTACCTAAGACGCGAAATGCAGCTTACCTCTGCTGGGGTAAAGAAAATACAGAGGCACCATTGAGAACTGCTAGCCCTCCTGGAATTGCTGATCATCTCGTTAGCCATTTTGAAATCAAAGCGTTTGATGCTTGCACGAATCCATACATTGGTCTTGCTTCGATAATTATTTCTGGAGTCGATGGATTACGAAAAGACTTAAACCTTCCAAAACCAGTAGGTAAGTTTGCCTTTTCAGTTTTTTCCCCTTGTGCTATATGGTTCAGCCTGATAGTTTACTCACTCTGTTCAATTTGTTTATCTGGTTTTGACTTAATACGAAGTTTAAGAATGTAAAGAAAACTTTTCGTCTTAAAGTAAAGGTACATACAAATGTACTACAATGTCCTTTAAAGAGTTCACAAATTAGGAAAGATGGGTTTTTTTTTTTCAAAACGGACTAAAAAGGAAAAAACGATCAAACAACTTGAAACAGAGGGGAGTTAAGCTATTAAGTATTTGAAAGTAATTCAAGTTTCCAAAGATTTCATGACGAGTTGTACAATTCCTTCACTGTTATCTGATATTCGAACTATGTTTTCTCGTGAAACAGAAGGGGATTCAGATGTATCTGGAGAGAATCTTCGAAGCGTACCAGATTCTATTTCTGAATCTTTAATTGCTTTAGGAGAAGATACATTGTTTTCAGAAGTGATGAGTGAAAACCTTTTGACAGCCATAAAAGGGATTCGAAAGGTACATTTAACTTATATACACTATCAGTATAAAACATTTTTTCAATATCATGCCATATTTAGAGTTAATTGTCTATGGTGAATACTAAGTATGAATTAAATTGTGACAAAAGAGTCTTTGTGGAAACAGTCTGTTACGGAAATGCAAGGTAAGACTGCATATAACAGACTCTTGTGGTCTGGTCTTTCCCCGAACCCCTACATAGCTAGCGGAAACTTAGTTCACCGGGATGTACTTTGCTAAGGATGATTTTGTTGTTGTTGCAGATGGAAGTGAAGAACTATTGTGAGCCTGAGAGGGACTACAATTTTTATGACCAGCAGATCTATAAGGATCCACTTAAGGACATCATTTTCAAATTTTAGGTTGATCGTATGTACTCGAATCTAAAATTTATAGTCAGTCAGTTCAGAAAAAACGAAGCTAATAAAGGGAGACTTCTTTTTATGTTTTGCTTCATCATATGGCATGCTAGTAATTTTAGAAGAAAAAAATTGATAGTATCTTCTCCGATCCTTTTTAATTGTCATAATTATTAAAATAATTGATTTAAAATGCTTTTTATTTTACTCTTTTCGTTTCATTTTACTTGAAATCTATATAAAAAATAAATACATTCTATTTGTTCATTTTAGCAAATCAAATGAGTTCTATCATTTTTCCTATACTATCCTTATTATTAAATAATTATATGAAATAATAACGGTTAAATTTAGAATTCAAAGTATTATTAATAAAGTTAATTTAATAATATATATCTCTAATTAACATTTTTTAAGGGGTATGTCAAATCAGCAACGGTTAAATAATATGAAATGAAGGAGTAGATAATTAAGAAAGAACTCATTAATATATTTTTTTCATATATCCTTATTTAAATAAATGTGAAAAGGGATTAATATAGCGAAAGCAACGGTAGTAATAAATTGAGATCAAAGAATACATAATTAGAGAATAATTAATCCAAAATAACTTGTTGTCTTAGATAATCAAGAAAGAATTGAATTATACTTTTTACATCTAACCTTACTCTAATAAATATATATAGAGATATTATTATTATTATTACTAGTATTATTTGACTATTAATATTTTCTCAAAAAAACGTATAAAACTCAAACATGACAATTAATGAAAATGATTGGAAAATCAATGGATGAAAAAAGAGCAAAAGTAGCTGTAGCTTTGGAGGCTAAATGCATTTTTTTCAATTTTACTGTAATTAAGAGGTCAATTTTCTTAGGAGTAATAATTATGTCACTAATCACAATATTATTAGCCAACACATCATAATTATATTATTTATCCTGGTATTTATATATATGTAGTCTAATCATAATTAATTTTGTTGGTTTTGTTAGGTATTAGGAGGTCAACCAATTGAAAAATCAAATAAGCTGAATCGTATCATTTAAAACTTTAAAAATTTATGAAAAAGATAATAGTATTATTAATTAATTAATTAATTTTAGATCTGCAATTGTTTAATACAGTGAAAATATATTAATCAACAACTCACTAATCTCAAACTAATTATATTATTCGACATATGCATGCGAAAATAAAGAAGAAAAATAGGTCTATATTAAAACAAATTTTGTACATTTTTACAAAGTAAAATGAACCTTAAACAAATTTACCCCTTATAACACTTTTTCCTTAATTATCTCCCATATATAATGCTGGTTGTTGTTGGAGTTGTTAAAATCAGTCCATAAAATTGTTAACTCTGTTCAACTAGTTTATGTTTGAACATGTTAATAATCTACTTATTTTATTAAATGAGCTTATTTTAACTCGTTAAATTCAGTTCATTTCAAATCTGAATTAATATGCAGTTACATTGGCATATGAGAAATTTTATCGAAATATTTTTAAAAGGACATTTTCTTATTTGATATGTTTTTATAGTCATAATAATATAAAGCAAAAAGTTGAATTAGGTACTCAAACAAATTATAAGAACTAGATAGGTTGGCTTATGACTCGATTTCATTGCAGCCCAATCTGCTTTAGTCCAAATAACATTTAACCAGATCAATAACTAGTCCATTTGTTATTAACTTATTCTTGATTCTTGTTTAACATTTTCAAATTCATCTCAACTCGCTCATTTGACATTCCTAGATAGAGTCGTCAAAATGGGCTTAGTCCATGGGGCTGGCCCAACCCAACCAGTTATTGGGATAGGGTTGGGATAAGATTTTTCAAGCTCATTTATAACTAGAGCTTATAAGTTCGACGGCCCGACCCATATAAGTTGTTTGCCCTTGAGGCTTGATCAAGGTTGGGCTGGGGTAGGCCCATGGGCCTAAATTATTTATTTAAGGGTAACTTACAGAAATCTCGCTGGTGTATGAGCTAATTACTTAGATGCACGCTATGTTGTAATATTACGAATCTTATCAGATTTTTGTACGTGTAAATACATGTATCTCGGGATATATGGACTCAAAATTAGGTGTAATTTGTTCTAGATACACTATAGCCAAGTGGGTTCGCACGTATCTAGGATACATAGACAAATCTTGAGTCCTCGCCTTCCTCCCATCTCGCTTGCCACTCTCTTATCTCGTTCGCGTACTGTGATGCATCACACTAGATACATGTCTCTTGCGTATTTAGTATTTTAGATACATGTTATTCACACTAGATTTTTTGCTAGTGTTATTGACACAACACCATTGTTTGTCATATTTGATTTGAAAATCTTCTCATTTTCTATTCGGGTTGGTGTTTGTATTAGAGGTTCGACTAAATGGATCGCACACTATATATAGAACTTATTTTGAAGGTGACACTACTCCCAGACCTCTGATTAAAAATGGAACGACGATGGTTATTTCTTTGGCTATCTAAAGTTTCAATATTGTTGGAGTCTTTTCCCTTTACCCTTAGTGGGGACAGTTGTTTTATTAGTGGTAAATCTTGTTTCATAATTGTGGATGAACAGTAGATCCATCTTCATATAACACCCATTTTAATTTTGATAAGAGACAGTCAATGAAGGTGATTATTAAACTTATTGTGGAGCTTAATACTCTTGCTTAATCTCTAATTATCACATATCTTGACTGCCTTTAATATTAATTAATTAATATATCCCTCTTCCTTTTTACTACTACTATAATGCACTTTGTTGGGAATTTGCACTACACTGAGTAAATTAAAATAATATAATTATCTATATTACTAAAGTATTCTTCTTATCAACTTATATATATGTTCTCCTTTAATTAATTTTTTATATTTTAATCCTTTCCATTTAGAGGAGTTAAAAGCATATTGTTGCTTTTAAGTACAAAATCCAAATTATAATTGACATTTTATAGCAAATTAGCTACTCTACTTTTGAGTTAACAATACACTTTGGTCATAATTATAGTTTTTACCAGAAAAGGCATTATCAGAAACTTTAGTAGGGGCATAATTATGAATATATATTTTTCACAAAAAAGGTACAACAATGCCTTAGGAGTAGGGGTGTGCACTATTCGGATTAAACCGAATAACTAAACCAAATCAAACCGAATTTTTATTTGGATTGGTTTTTTGGTTTTTCGGATTGGTTTTGGATTAATAAATTACTTTTTTTGGTTTTTTGGTTTGGTTTCAGATTTTAAAAAATAAAAACCAAAAAAACCGAATTTTATATATATATATATATATATATATATATTTATATAAATGTTTAGGTTTAGAATTAAGTTGGAGTTAACCACTTTTGTCTCTTTTTGGTTATTGTCTTTCATGATGATTACGTTTAATTTTTATGTTTGAACATCTATAATACGTATACTTCTAAGTATTGTGTTTTAAGTTTTACTTATAATTTATATTAGCAAGTATATTTAAGGGATTAAATATTATTACTTTGGTTATGTTATTAATTATTGACATAACCGAATTACCAAACCGAATAGAGGAAAACCATACCAAATCAAATTTATTTTGGATTGGATTGGGTTACACTTTTCAAAACCAAACACCGAAAAATCCAAACCAAATAGTGCAAAACCAAACCGAAAAACCGAATGCACACCCCTACTTAGGAGTTATTATATATAGTAATTTGTAATATTAAAGTAATTATTTAAGAATTAGGTATCATTGGGTATTATTACTGTTGAAATATTTTAAGTACATTAGTGAAATAATTTGGGTGCCATTGGATATCTATTTACTATTGAAATATTTTGGGTATAGAGGCGCCAATTATACTCATGAATTAATGACAAGCTATGTTAATTTAACATGAAAAAAATCAATATTCTTGGACTTATATGTAATTATAAAGCAAAAAACAAAATTGCCATAAAGGCACAGAATTAGTTAGATAATTATGAAATATGATCGCAAAAGATTAATATATACCGTATATTTTTTATTTATATACATGATGACTCAAGTGTCAACGAAGATTATCTTACATGAATGAATATTATTTATATACATAATGTGTCAAAGTGTCAACGAAGAGTATCTTGCATGAACTAATATTAGTAATGAATATCAGTATCTTGTGTTTTTTAAAAGGGATAATTGTACATAATGACAAACTTATAATCTAAAATAAATGGAGTAGCTACTGTTTGATTTAATTGCGCTCCGTAGCAAACGTTTGTCAGCCACCTCTCTCCCTCTAAATTCTCGCTCGCTCCCTTTGTGCTCGCCTCTCTCGCTTTATACAACAGAATTGTATAAATTGCGTTTCTGTTTGTATAAAGCGAGAGAAAATTGTATATACACATGCAAATACATATATATTCGTCCTATACACTTATAATTATACAATAAAAATATTCCCCTACCCAGTTCTCTTTTGTCTTTCTCTCTTTCTCGTTTTATACAAACACATATTATACAATATAATGTAAAATTTATGTTTGTATAATGTATAATTTATGTTTGTATAAAGCGAAAGAAAATTGTATATACACATGCAAATACATATATATTCATCTTATACACTTATAATTATACAATACAAATATTCCCCTGCCCAGTTCTCTTTTGTCTTTCTCTCTTTCTCGTTTTATACAAACACAGATTATACAAATATAATGTATAATTTATGTTTGTATAATGTATAATTCATGTTTGTATAAAGCGAAAGAGAGAGCAATTTTTGATATACAAATATTTTTGTCAACGATTTATACAAACGAGAGGCTAACAACAATTTATACAAATGGCCTGCCAGAGAAATTATACAAATCTGAAGAGGAGTCAACGAATTATACAATTGCTTCTTTTTGTATATATGTATAGCGAAATAGACATAGCTTTCAATTGTATATGTATAGCGAATTATACATATATATGTTTGCTATGGAGTGCAATTATGCAAACTTTGCTATAACAT